ACTACAACGTGAGGAAGAAGAACGTAGAAGGAAGGAAGAAAAAGCCAAACAGCGAAAGGAAGAAGAAAATCGCAGGAAAGCTGAGGAAGCCGAAAGGTTAAGAAAAGAACAAGAACGAGATACTCAGAGACGCGAAGAGGCCAAACGTCGACGCGAGGAACAAGAAAGACAAATCAGACAAGAAACAGAAAAGATAAGAAAAGCTGAAGAGGAGAGAATCAGAAAGGAAGACGAGACTCGTGAACGCAGGAGGCAGGAAAGAGAACACAGAAAACATGAAGAAGTTCAGAAATTATTGAAAGAGGAGGAAGAAAGATCGAAAAGGGACGAAGAACGCAGAAGAAAGAGGAAAGAAGCTGAACAACAGTGGAAGGAAGACGAAGACGCTTTAAGAAAGAAACAAGCTGAACGTATTGAAAGAAGAAAGGCCGAAGAGCGTCAAAATAGGGAGGAAACGGAACGTTTGAGAAGGGAAGACGAGGAAAGGAGACACAGAAGAGAAGCTGACCGAGAGACAAGAAGAGAAGAAGCTGTGAAGGCGCTGAAAGAAGACCAAGAACGATTGAGGAAACGACAGGAAGAAGAGACTTCGAGGCTTCTCAAACGAAGACAAGAGCAATTAAGAGACGATGGCTGGGCCAGGCTAAGGCAAAGTGAATCGGATCAGATGTTGCGAAAAATGACAGAGGATACGAAGTCTTTGAAATTTTCGAAAGTTTCTTCTGATGTAGAATTTTGGAAGGATCGTCGTGAGAAACATCATAAGTACGATTCAGGGTTTGAATCTGGACTTTCCAGCACTTCTAGATCATACAGTTGGAGGGACTCTTTAACTTGTATAACTAAAAGGAGAGTGGACGATTTTCTTGACTACAAACTGAGAGACAGCTCGATGGACAGATATTACTTTGACACGGGTTCGTATTATAGAAGAAGGAGGAAGAGGGATGATCGAATTACAAGAGCAAGATCTATCAGTTTGCTGAAGTATGAGGATTATTCGACTGATAGCGATGCCACCATTACGCCTTACAGCACGTTTAAGCTACCGCGGTATAGCAGACCGAAGACTGTATCTCGAACCGATCTCGATGCATTGACTCTTTCATTAAATCTGCCCAGTGTCACTGATGGGGTAAGAAGTTTTGTTTATATTGTTAAATTATTATTGCTGTTAATCCTCGGACCGATAAACAGCATTTTTTAAATTTTATAATTCCAAATTATTTTCGAGAGTGTCTTCTTCGAATAAGTGCCTGAAACATCTGCTAAATAGTTGAAGATAGTGGTCTGATTCGGTCTTATAGAGCACGTTCAAACAATCTCAAACTGTCTCAAACATTCAAAAATAAATTGCACAGCAGGAATATTGATTCGAAAAGTTTCAATTCGGTAAACCAATTCTCATTTGAAAAACAAACAAAAGTTGCTTGTCAGTCGCAAACAAGTTACGAACACTCACAAACACTAACATACTCAACCATACAGAAATAACTACCCAAATTTAGTTCAGTAGATAATTATTCATAAACATTCACATTCAACAAAAATAATTTAATGCAACTTTTAATAGAATTGTAAAATACAACTTTCAGTAACTGTCAACCGTGAAAAATCCACAACACAATGTGTTAATTTAAAAAGAAAAGGGAGTACGTATAACGTTAAAAATACTTCTTTGTAGATGGCCCCACGCGAAAAGGGCAAGAAACCATCATTCTGTACAAGATTAACAAATAGGACTGTAGGAGTTGGTATGAGAACGAGACTAACGTGCACCGTGCTCGGGTATCCGGAGCCCAGGGTTCACTGGACCAAAGACGGCGAGAAACTCGAAATCACGTCGAGCCGATATCGAACTCGGTTTGACAACGGTATGGCTTACTTCGAACTGCATGAAGCGCTCCCCGAAGATTCCGGAGTGTATACCTGTGTTGCCGAGAACGTTCACGGAATCGCGACCACCGAATCCACATTAAAAATTTACCCCGATTTCCAACCAGCACTGTCACCTCCCACCTTTACGAGATCCATTAAAGGTAAGTGCCCAAAACGTAGAATGAACAAAGTGAAACTATTTTGCTCTTCGATAGAATATTACGAAACAACTTCGCACACTCGAAGGTAATATAAACAAGTGATAACAAGATCTCCCAAATTTATTTATTTATCTTTTATTATATTTGTGGTTTTCCAATATTTTAAATTGATACTATGAAATCCCAAAATGAAGCTACTTTTGTTGCCTTTAAATCAAATATTCATTTCCTCGAAAATGTTATATATACTCTTAAAACAAATTCACTCTGTTTAAACATCTGTTATATTGTAAATAACAAATTTTAAGAAACAAAATGGGAATCGAAATTTTGAGAGTCAATAACAAGAATCCTGGCAAAAATGGTGATTAATTGTTAACAGTTCTCGTTCACATTGTATTATAATTAATTGTCTATTTATTTTAATTTGTTTCTGCGATTGCAATGTTACTTACATTTTTCCAGACACTTATCGTTATTCGGATAACGATTTGATACTGGAGTGTCGGGTCCGAGGTAATCCTACGCCACTGATTTCCTGGCTAAAAGACGGCTGCATACTCCAAGGCGATCGGTACAAGCAAAGTTACTTGGACGACGGCATTTATCGGTTAGAGATTGGTGTACCAAACTCAATGGATAGCGGGCGTTACACGTGTAGAGCCATGAACGACCTGCGCACGGAAGAAATCTCGCATGTGGTTCAATTCGATGGTAAAGCTTCTCTATTTTATCATACAATTTTTATTATAAAATTTAACGTTAAGTTATTCTTAAAATACATAACCTTTTTCTTATAAATATTCTTGTTTTTATTATTCTGTTACATTGTTAATACATTATTTAATATTAATTTATTACATAGCTTTTTATATTGTTCTATTATTTATTCTACTATTATTTATTAAGAACGAACTCGACGAACGACAGCCAGACACCACGAAATTTTCGACGATCACTTCAGCACTGATGCTTTGAAGAAACCATATTTCTCCAGCTACCTGCACGATTATAGTGGAAGTACCGGTCAACTTCGAGCAAAGGGTAAATACTTAAATAAAAATAACAAAAGTCAAAATCTAAAATGATAAAATATGAAACGTAAGATGTACAGCTTAAAGTACGAAATATAAAGTGTAAGATATAAAATAGAAAATATAAGATATAGAATATAAAACATAAGATATAAAGTGAACTTCAAAATAATAAAATCAAGTAACAAGTAAATAATTACAATTAATGACTGTTACAGGCGCATCCGCACCGGAAGTAAGATGGTTCCGCGGCGAGAGGAGAGATCCAATTTCTATACCGAAGACGAAAACATTTGAATCCGGTATTCACGGGTTGCACCCACCAGATTTCGGTGAATTCGAAAGGAGCTCGCACATATCCAGAGGAACAAATGCGTTTGCACACGTGGACCTGACTGCGATGGACGTAATGCCACCGAGTGGAATCGAAAGCGGGAAACCCGCCATGTTTGTCTCGAGGCCGGCTGAAAATTCGATCACCGTCACCACCGGAGAGGATGTGAGCGTGTCGTTCAGATGTGCTGGGAATCCGAAACCACGGGGTGAGATGATAAAATAATTAATATAGTGATCAATAAAACAGTTAACGAAATAATTGATAAAATAATTGATAAGACAATCAGTAATATAATTATGTAATGGATAAAGAAATTGATAAAACAAATAATATAATAATCAATCAAACAACTGATAAGTAATTGGTAAATGAAAGAATTTATCGAATTTCACCAAATCAAATTTTATTTCTATCTTTTTACTTTCGCAGTGTTCTGGATGAAAGGACTAAAAGACATCACCAACGGTCCCCGATCATACAAGGAAGCGATTGATGATTACGTCAGACTGACCTTGAAGAGAGTTGCACCATCGGATGAAGGCACTTACTGCATCTTAGTCAAAAACAGACATGGCTGCGATAGAAGTTTCTTTTCGATAAAGGTGTGCAGATGTGATCTCGTATATATGAAATCTATTTATTTTTATTATTTAGGTACACGGTTTCTGAAGTTTCTGCTAATTGATGACCAATGACAATTGAATTCGTTTGTCCAGGTGAAACAGCGGGCCAGGTCACTGACACCCGACTGGAGTACCGTCAGCAGCCGTACCGACACCGGAAGTCTTCTAGGATTGACGTCTGACAGTCGTGACGATGAACTGTCCTACGTAAAAAGTGAGTTTTTCTTCTATTAAATTATTTTTATTTACTATTTTATTTTTATTACATGAACAAAGACAAATTCTAGTTCATTAAATTAAACTTCATTCAACTATATGTTGACTGTGTTTGTTCAGCAAATGTTCAACATTTTTTGATATATTTATTAACAATACTTATTCATATAGCATAATACAAAAGTAATGAAGAAAAACAACAAAACCGTTTAGTTGGTACAATTTATATATACTGTTGCTTAATCATACTTAAAAGTTCCCTTGAATATCCTAATTCAATAAAATTAACCTTCTGAGAATAAATGTCACATTGGCAATTATTAGAAAATTACATGCAAATAACTTAATCATTGAAACTAAAAATAATCAATTGATTATTTTCTTTTTTCTAATATTTGAAAATTCGATATACGAAGTAATTTTGTGCAGAAGGCTCTTTTGTGATACTTTAAATAGCCCTTATTCGTAAAGGGTTAGGGTATATGTATAATGGAACAATAACAATTAAGAAACACAGACATTTGGAATACACTGCGAGTGTTGAGTCATTACGGATAAAGTTCACGCGTATAATGAAGAAATCACAGTTAGAAAACACAGCTCGACGGCATTGACTGCGGTTTTACCGTGCTCTTGGCTCGCGTTTTAATGGATGGATTCCAAACGAACCCTGTACTAACTAGACCCTCTAAATGACGTCAATGTTTAGGCGAATCATCCGTGCCAATATACCTTGCCGCTCCTTAAACATCCGCAAACGAAAGATTGTTTGATTAAAAGGTATCAATCAAATGGCGGTGTTTCCATTAAATCTTCGAAAAACCAACAAATGTATGTGCAGTTCCTAGTTTAAGCTTTTATCGTAATTCGCGAGTATACGAAAAGAAATGAAGGTTAATATAAAAATCAAGAATAATACTAAAATTGTGTTAAAAAAAAGTAATTGTCGAGAAACCAATGAAGAAAATCAATCAATTAAAAATCAATAAATATATTATCATAGCATACCATATTATTATTATCATTTCTTATTATCATATAAATTGATGAACCTATTTTTTTAATTTACATTCGAAATAATATAACAATAAAATTAAATAGCTTACATAATATATAATAAATAAATACTATTAATTGTTAGTTTCACGTTAAAAATGAATTCACGTCGTAACATTGTTATTTTATCAAGTAAAATGATAGTACACGTTTCCAGTGCACGTACATCTGAATTCGAAGCTGAAATAAAGCCAAATGCGACGGTACTTTGACCAAGCCCTGACGTATTTTAAAATACAACGTTCCACCGTGCGTCGCCTGTACAATGATCGAAACAAACGTATTTCGTATTTCACGTTGCACAATAGAAAAAACGGTACCGTGACATGATTAAATAGGTACATACATTGAACGCGGAGAAGCGAACCGCAGATGTTGGAAAGACATCGCGGGTCTCGAATTAGAATCAAGGGAATTAATTTCGCGCGAATAACGCCGGGCTCGAATTCGAATCGCTCTATACAAATCCTCTGAATCACCAATTTCATAATATTCAGGTTCAATTCGAATTATTCGCAATACGAGATGAAAAGTGTTCGAAGCAACCAATTGCAATACATCGTAGTCCTTTCGTAAATTAATTTCGTAAAATTGTTTTGACTTCACATTGGATGAAAATGAATTATTCGAAAACAATTGGTGTACAAAAGTTTGTTAACTTAACATCGGATAAATTGATATTGTTTATAAATTAACAGAAATTATTAGTTACAATTGAATACGTTTAAATAATACAATTGATTGATTCATTACTTAATTAATTAATATCTTCTATAATTAAGTAATATTAATAACATATAATATAATAAATCAATTTAATCAATTCATTACAGGCAAATCATTTCCTTAACACTTAATATTCAACCCTTCGAATCTAAATCTTGCTTCAATAAGTTTTACTCATTACCCAAATAACCACTTCGAAATATATTGCCGTAACAACGGCACCGTAGTTGTATCGCAAATTGATCATGTAACAGTAGGAAATAGTCGAAAATAAACAGGGGAAATTACTGGAGCATGTGGCCCAGGGAAGTAGGCCGTCGATAAATAAACATCGTTCTCATCGCAGAATTCGTAATGCTCGACCAGTCGGACCAAAAATTCTCATTTAACACTTATACTACCTTACCCGTCAAAATTTCTTATTCCACGATTATTAACACCTCAAAGGTGTTAAGAATCCAGAATAATTTTAAAAATAAGTAGTTCCACTTGAATACTATAATGAATATATGAAGAAATCGAAACAAATCTATTGTTACAATTTTTATAAGGCCTACATATTAATCCTGTTAAACGCTCGGTAGTTCTACTGTTAAATCAATCTCCATTTCAAAACTGTTAAACCCTTCAATTTATAACAGTATTACGAAAACGAATTTTACACTAAACGTACCGGCACTTTATATATTATTTCTGCCGTAACCAGTCGAATAACTGGTTACAAAATAAAGGTAAATAAGTTATCCCTTTAGCTACTGTTGTCACCTATAGGCCAAGGAGTTAAACGATTTTTCTTAGTGGAAACAGAAAAAAAGAAAAGACAACAGCAAGAAAAAAGCATAGGAATTCATATAAATTAGATTTATGTTAACACCAGGTTTATGGACGTTTATCGTTTGGTTTATTCTATTGTTTCTAGGTAAATTGATGTTTGATCGTCTAGATCTTGAAAATTAGGGATGTAAAAATAAATTATTAGGATACATATTCTTATAACTATATCAATCAAAACCGACATACATGTTTGCCAAGTAATGTTTATCGGGTTTACCTCCGTAAACCTAGAACTAAAATAATTTGATTAAAATCAAGTGAACCAAAGAAAACGTAGAATTTGAAATCAAATTTTGAAGTCGGTCATTCGACCGTTCGTGGTACGTTTAGTGTTAACAGTTACGTGACACCATCCTCAATATGTGTCGCTCAGAAATGTACAAAAATCAGAAGATATCAAAAAATGGTCTTAACCGCATTGACTTCTGAGCGACACATATCACAATACCCACGCGCAAATAAATATTTGCGTCCGTTATTTACTACAAAACAAAATTGCAACTGCCTCGTGTTCACTATAAATCAGTCTCAATGTCATCTTCCGCATGCAGTAAGCTTCTGCAACGACAAATTGTCATGATATCGTCAAGTTGGACTCCAATGGACGTTAACGGCTGGTGAACGCGATCAAAGATCGATCCTTCGATCGATTTAAGGGCTGCCCGCGGAAATAGGTGACACAATTCCGCAAAGAGGTCCTCATGTGACGATAGACAAACTCGCAACGACACCACCTACATGCACAGTTGTCAGTAGTACACCTCTCAACGGGTTATTTTCGTTTGCCTTGCCCGATCCACGTCCCTCCGGCATCCCTCCGTTGCCACAAAATTCAAAATTCAGTTAGCGTCGAGACGCGAGTCGTCTCGCGTGCCCCACTTTTTTCGAGCCTTGGCCAACGCGAAAAAACACCTTGACATTTTCGGTACCGAAGGATTTCGCCAGTCGTCTCGCGAAAATTGTTTTGCAGAAACATTTTCGTCGTTTTTCTTTTTTCTTTTTCGAGAATGTTTAGTGCTGCTCGAGTGATTCACGTCGGGACGAAAGAATTTTGAATTTGACTTTGTGGATGAATGTATTCCGTACAGTGAGAATTTGATGGGAGAGAAATCTTTTGTGAAGAATAATTTTGTCTTGATGAATTTTATGTAATATTCGATGGAATACCTTTTATAGGTACACATGTAAAGTGGAAGTTTGGATTTAGATATATTGATTGATATAAATGGAGACTCGTAATCTTGTGATATTTTTTTCAGTTTACACGATATGAGATGATAAATGTTGATAGATGCAACATATTAAATCAGAGATGTTAAATTGTGTTATTTGATGTTTGAAATTTTTGTTGAAATTCGTTAGTAAATTATTGGATATGAAATTTATTTCTTTATTTAGCGAGATTTTGAAAATCGTATATTTTGATAATCGTAAGATTATATTCTTATGGAGGGTAGGTTAATAAAAATTCTTATAGAAATACAATAACCTATGTTTATTTTATTATGTAACAATTGCGTAAAAGGAAAATTAATTGGGATTTCAAGTATATTTTTAATTCTATTGGCTAATGTACAGAATATAATAAACCATGTAATATTCTATGATACTCCATATAATTCCATGCGATTCCAAATTATGAAACTCAGCTTCTATTTATACCAAAATTAATGAAACAAAAATCAGAATATATAAAGACAATAATATTTACTGATTGATTGTATCAAAAAAATACAGAGTGCGAAGGATAACATCCTCCAAGATAACCGCGATTATTTTTAATAGTCCGTAAACAATGATTAATTGAGTTTCTTTTGTAAACTTCTTCTCAGATATCGTTCCGTTCTGTTTACAATGGATCTTTTAACTCTTGTTTATTCATAATATCATGCAGTCTAATCTTGTTTTTCAATTTCTTTTATACACATTCGATTATGTTGCTATCTAGTCGCTGAGAAGATAGAATTTCGAATTAATTAAAAATCTCATCTTCTCCCAACAATGTCGCAGTTTTAACTGATACTGGAGTTTATGTACATTAATATTATATTATTCAATTGATTCACAAAATTTATCCGAATAAAGTTATCCGTTAACCAATGGTAATTATCTCTCCTATCATTTTCTCACTGTACGAATACATTTATCTGCTATTGTACAAAGCAGAAACGAATTTGGAGATGATCTTTCGTCGAAAATGAAGCCCCACGATCATGGAATCGTCAACGACGATGAACAATTGACGATTTCTCATCTGAGACGTTCGTGGTCCGATAAAGATTGTCTGATCGTTAAATTTCTGGAATATTTGTACGGTCACAGAGGTTAGAAAATATTATACAGAAATTCTGGATTATTTAATGATCATTTAGGTAAATGTGCCAGTAACAAAAAAATAAAAATTATATATAAATATAAATGTTCAATACAAATATGTATGTTTATATTGTTCGTACAGTTTTAATTGGTTAGTCATTGGTACATTTAGCTTAAATAATTTTCCAATGAAACATCCGAATTCAAAAGAATTTTGTTTTGGAATTGATCTAGGGGTATATCATTTGTTTATAGATGTCCCTGGACCGATTAGCAGTGAGCCAGTCGTCATTGACGGCGGAAAGAACTGGCTATCTCTGAGTTGGGGCAAAGCTGAACAAAGGGGGCCAGCACCTGTTATCGCTTATAGGGTTGACGCTTGGCTGCTTGGTAGCGACGGAGGTGCACGATGGGTCGAGGTAATTATATAAATTATTTTTTAATTTTTCCAAGTTTCAATGTTTACGACAATCTTGATAAAACTATTATATAACATCAATGACTATTTCTAAAAAATATGTAGTAAATAAATGTAAGATGTAATGGAATAAATCTGTTATAAAGGTTAAGACAGCCAAGTAACGAAATTCGAAAATGAAGAAAATTTTATTGCATTCTTTTTCGAGACGTATGATCGAATTACGTGAAGCTATTAAACACATCGTGACACCAAAATGATAATAAATGTAACACGATATTCACACACGACCGGTAATGATCATAAACTATTGTACTTGGCAGCTTGACTCACACTTTCAGACCGTGCGAATACAAAGTATCATACTGACCGTCATTATACTTTTGCATAACTTGCCAATTTTCAAGGAGTCGCGTGAGTAATATCTGTTTGTAACATATTTATTTTTCAACACTGAATTGTACAAATGAATGATGAATTCAGAAAATGTTGTTGACTGAACATTCATTCCAATAAAAAATAAAGTATTCATTTACTAATAAACAATCAGCTAGCTGCTGTTCCAAAATTATTCACTTTCTTCTGACTTAGATGAATAGATACCAAAGTACAATCTACACTATAATTCAGTCAAATACTTCGTTTAAAAATAAAAAATAATTATTCGTCTTCATATTGCTCGTCAAATTATTCTTTATACATGGACACTTCGTGTATAGGATAATTCTACTTATAATTTTATTTTCTAAACTTATAGTAATTAAGGTAATTTAAATTATAATATTCAATTATATAATTTTTTAAATCATAATATTAATTTATAGAATTTCATATTATATAATATTCCAAATTATAACATTAAATTACATTGTGTTGTATTATACAATTTTTCAATTATAATAATGATTTCTAACTAAAACTCGAAAAATTCTTCATTCTCTACAAGAATATCACAATTTTCACAATTAGCTGGGTATGACGCCGATCAACGCGTTCGATGCGTTCAACTTGAAGCCCGGCGGCGAGTACAAGTTCCAGGTGACACCGCGGAACCGCTACGGATGGGGCGAGTCCGTCACCATGACGAGCTCCGTTAAGGTCACCGAGACTGTCGATCTTCCGGAGTTCACGAAAATCTTGCCAGGTCAGCTCAAGGTTCTCGAGGGGACAACAGTAAAATTGGAATGCGAGGCAAGTGTCCTATTATTAGCCGTACATTCCTACTTTTGTTCCGCGGCATTTATTATTAAGCACGCCGTGCATAATGTTTCTAAAGTAGCGCCGTGAAACTCGTGGGCGTAACTCGTGTCCCGAAAGAATTCGTTTCCGAAGTACACAGGGTGATTCACGTGGCTGGAATAAATTATATTTACTGGCTCGAATTTGAGATTTCTTCCCATCCCTCTTAACTTTCGAGATATTTGTCAGAACAGGCTTGCCATCCCCTATTTTCAGGGTTGTCACCTTCAAAATTGGATTTAGACAGATCAAAAAATATATATTAAATATTTTTCGATTTTCTGCTACTGAATTTTCATATTTAAAGAAATTTAATAGTATGCAATGCAAATTAATATAATCTTTTAAGCTTTGCTTGACGATTTATTTGGCAATTGTGTTCAACTAAGAAGTGATAGCTATTATCATTGGCAATTTAATAAATGGAAAAGGGATTCTATATCTAAATGTACTATATAAATTAAAAATTAATAATAGAAAAATAATATTTACTTCCAATTTAATAAGAACATGATATTCGTGTTGAAATTTAATTTGAAATTTTTACCATACGTTTGGGAAAGCTTTTTAACAAATTGAAGCGATACGAAATATGTAATGAAAATGAGATAATAAAGATACTAAAATATTAATATAAAGAGATTATTCGATGTAATGACTTTACGTTACAGATACGCAGTGACTCGAAAGTCGATATAAAATGGTACCGTGAATCTTCTGAAATAGATCTGAACAACGAACCAAGGTGTTCGATCTCACGCGACGGATCGAAGTGTATGCTTACAATCGAAAACGTTCAGGAAATCGATTCCGGCAGATACGTTTGCGAAGCTGGAAACTTGATCGGCAAAGTCTCGTCGTTTGCTAGAGTGCTCGTCGTCAATGATCCGAAGATCATTGAAGCCGATGCTAAACTTAAATCCAGGTGCAGATAATTCATAAATAAATCTTCTAAAAATCATTTTATAAACAGAACACGAAAATTATAAGGCATCGTTTAATTATTTTGTTAGCTCAAATATCTAAAATCAATGGAAATCATAAAATATAATTTACAAATTATATTTTTAATATTTTGATTTGTTTCCTTTTGTTATTTATATTCCATATATGCATACAGTGAGCTAGTAGACGATCTAGAAGACAGACCACCGCAATTCACCATGAGAATACGAGACAGAAGAGTCCAAGTGTCATATCCTGTGAGATTGACGTGTCAAGTAACAGGACACCCCCTCCCTGAGGTCACATGGTACAAAAATGGCACCGAGATCCGTCAAGATGGTAAGTAAACGAATTTATTTATTTCCATAATTGAACTATATCATTTAGATACAAAAACAATAGCCACATGTTCAGATGAAAAAATTAATTTTAATAAATACAATTACCACGATCCTATGTCACGAAGTTTTTATTAACATCGTTCGAAATCACTTTGACATTCACGAAACACATTTCCCTTCTTTAAATAGGGAAGTTTTTAATATTTTAATATATGGAAGGTTAAATGTTGCAAAATAAGAATTGTGCTTCATGATTTTCGTAATGAAGAGGTTCATCATTGATTCTACACAGTTAATTATTGACTGGTAAATATATTTATTTATAAATATTTTGTTTTCGTCTTTTGTTGAAGAGCGCCACGTATTCTGGAACGACGATTCGAATTTCTACACGTTGGAAATCGTTCATTCCACTCTGGAGGATTCTGGCTGTTACATGGTGTCAGCAAGGAATGCCAATGGGTCGGTGTCCTGCCGCTGTATCCTCGTCGTCGACAAGGGAATCCGTGCTTACATAGCTCCGGAATTCTTGTGCGACCTCAACGCTGAATACACGGTAAAACCAGGAGGGGATCTACGAATGACGGCTCAAATAGAGGCATATCCTAGCGTCGGAGTCGTATGGTAATTATTACTTAATAGACAAATTACTATTATATTATATTTTATATTATACATTAATATTATAATATTAAAATTATTTCGCAAAAAGAATTATTACACTTGGGGTTTTTCAAAAATATCTTAATAAATTTAATTTTCAATAACTGAAATTCAATCAATTTCATATTCGATCATTAAAATTGAATAATCGAAAATAAAACACAATGAGATGAGATATTTCCGCAAAAAATCGTAAAACAATTATCATGAAATAATTGAAAATTATTTATCAAAGGTTGTTTATATTTTTTATTAAATTGATCTCTTTTCTATTATATCGACCGTATTTACTATAAATGCATAAAACGCGCATTTTAATTATTATGCAAAGGGAATCGATAGAAAATTATTAGCTTGAGAAATTGTGTTATTATTGAACATTTTTTAAAATAGAAATGATACGAAATATTCATCATTTCTCTAGGCACCGCGATGGAATCCGTCTCCGTCCAAGCAGAAGAGCAGTAATGACCTTGAACCACGACGGTACCGTTGAACTGTCCTTGGGTAAGGTTACCGGAAGGGACGCCGGTGTTTATATCTGCACTGCGACCAATGAGGTTGGCCGAGCTGAAACCTCTACGAGGGTATCAGTTGTTGGCACTGAAAAACACGATGATCAATTGTCAATTGATAAGACACCAAGTGTCTCTGTCGCAACACCAGATATACCGTACGTTTATTTATTTATATAATTAAACATATTTTATTATTAAATGCATTATCATTTGATAATGGATACTAATAGAAGTTATAATAAGTTATGACAATAAGAGAATTGTTATTTAAAGACATGCATTGTGGAAAAAATTAATTACAAGTATTAATTATTTAATAATATTTTAGCTTTTTCTAAAGTAGAATTTTATGTAAATTGCTTTCAATTCGTTGTTATACCGAAGTTAATATTCTTTACCGATAATAGAAGACATTTGAATGAATTAAAGATTAATTAAAAATGTTGATAGATATTCAAAGGAGCCTCTGTTCATCACGAAGCCTTTGTCCACCGAAGCGGTCGAGGGTGACACAGTCATTATATCATGTGAAGTGGTCGGTGATCCCAAACCGGAAGTAATGTGGCTGCGCGACTTTCTCAAGGTAACAAACTTTTCACCTTCGATTGTACGAATGCCAAATAATTAGCTGCAGCATATAATGTGTAGTATAAATATATTAACAATTTTCCATTGAAGTTGCAAATATTTATTATGGTAAACTTTACCATCATCAAGTATCTTTTCATACTGTTCTTCATAATAACAGAACACAAATAATTTCTACATAAAAATAAGCGTTCAATTACTCTACAATCCTATATTCAACAAAATATTACAAAGACAAAATTTATATAACGAATTTAAAATTCAAAATGACCTACACGTGAATACGAAACACACATATCTACGAAAATTCTTCCAAAAATACAGATTACACACACACACACACACACACACACACAATTATATACAACCTATTACATAAATACAGAACTTTCTAAAAAAATTTTAAACTGAATCTGAGAAATCTAAATTTATTCTTTTCCAATATAAATTGAATATTACTTCTCTATTATCAATCGATAACCTTTGCAGTAAATGTAGACATAGAATAAGCATAAAAATTTTTTTTTCTCCTAATACATTATTAACAATGAAATAGTTGTATCGATCATAGTTACGAAATAAATCATAGGGCAAGGGGTTAAACCGGTGATAAATTCCAACCGATTTAAATTTCATAATACATATTCATTGTGAAATACGACTAATATCGAGCAGATTCATATATGACTTTTCCTTTCGATTCGTTGGTTCGTCATCGTTCCGTCGAACGAAAACCGGGAAAGAAAGGTCGCGATAACCGGCGATACGGATTGTCTCGAGCCCTAGCGGCCGGTCGATTCACACACGAAACAAGCAAAAGAAAAGATACGTTGCGCAATCGGTGAAATGACGTGTCCCTAATGCCGTCTTGATCCATGATGTGGGTCAAGGTGATTGCGAAAAAGAAATGACAACGTAACATACCGCATTATGCCCATAAATGGGCCAGGCATTATATGCGTCGGGGAAACGGCATTGATATCGGACGACTCTTTAAAAGGTAACAGTAAGTTACGTGAGGTTAGACACCCGGAGACCGAGAGAAAGAGTGAAATTTATTGCTCAATCGACGGGCAGGTCTCCGACAACGGAATTCATCCGTTGGGAATACGCTCGTCGGGTCTGATCACTGATTGGATTCTACTACTGGACGTTTTGTTACTTTCTATACAAGCGGAACGGTACTTTTTCTTTTACAGTTCGAGCTTTCTTTTTAATATGATATTGAACGTAGTTAAATATTAGAATATGGATTCGGTTATATTAATATTTTGCATCGACATTAAATGTATTTGAATTATTATGTTACATTACATTATTGTATTCAATATTGCTTTATATTTATATCTTTTCGTTTGAGATGTTCTCGGAAGAATCAAGATCGAAAATTTATGGTATACTCGATTGACTGTATTGAATCAAATCTAATATTTTGGATTTAGTAATAAAATATAGGTAACATAATTGTCAAGTTATTATTCAACATTACGAGGAGATAGAGAATGTAGAATAAAATTTATTTGTTTAAAGTACCATTATCGAAAGAATCTAGTTTCAAAAATTTCAATGAGGTTGATTACAGGTGTAAGTTAAAAATAGGAAAATGGGAAAATTGTGTGTTATATGTTTTTATTAATTTATGTTTGTGGAATTATCATTGAATTCGCAATATTGTGGTGTGTGATAAGTGTCAGGTTAATTGGTATTTTGATAAAAATTTCTAATTATATTCATCTCGAACGAAGTGACATTGAAATATTTTCTCGGTAGATGAAATCATAATGATTTTAGCCAAAGAGTGCGTAGTCGGGATAGGAAAGACGGATATAAAGTGGTTACAGTTGCGGAAATCCAACCCAGTTAACAAGATGCTTATTCAGTGCTAATCTTGTCTGGCGCTATTGCATGTACTGTAAGCTACTATCCACGCGAGAGCCCCTGCTCCACCATTTTTCTCGGAACAGTGCGTAAACTAGCATGCGCTTCTTGTATCTCCCGATGACACATGCGTTTATATTAATTAATTCATTCTAGGCTTATTTAGTAGAACTTAGGCTTATCTAATAGTCTATTCGATTTTTTCCGAAAATAGCTCACTCCATTGCATTTCATTTTCAATTATTGAGTTTCGATTATTGAATTCATTCAGTCGACATTGATACAGTAAATTATAGTTTCCTTTTTATGAATTAAATAATTTCTGCAATTTAGAGTCAATTTATTTCGAAAAAATAAATTGAATGCGATTACAGTTTATCTTTAACGATAGTATGAAAGTATTACATTTAATTATACAATGTGTCCAAATATGTGCTACCACGAAATTTTACCACTTTTATTTAACTTTACGAGAAATTGTGTTATAGAAAAGTTAAAGTATATTTAATCGTAAAAAAACTAAACATTGAAGCTGAACAATATATGATTTGTACAAAACAGTTTATTATTTCTAAGAAATTGTTTTGGTTAATTAAGAAATAATGATAAATAGTACATCCTTTTTGGAAGAGTTAAATGTTAAATTTCGAGTTTTAAATAATACTATAATGTTTCAGATATTTTGATATAGAAAATAAGAATCATAGGAAAATTCAATAATTATAAGACGTTAGAAAAAGAACTTCGTTAGTTCGATTCTCTTCATTCATCAGTGAAAACTTTCGAAGATACAGTTTTAATAAACCGTATTCCATTCACGCTGCTATCAGTACTCCTTCGTACGCACGGTCCCCCAGATCACACGGCAATGTCACACGCCAAACAACGAACGCAGAATACCAATCAGCATTAACTTTAAACACATTGACGTCATTCGCGCGACAGAAGTCAAATATTCGGTACTTAAAATCGCGTACAAAAATCCTTTTAAAGTAACCAAGGGAAAAAGGAGAAAAAGGGCAAAATGTGTTTAACCTTCAACGAAACTGACCAGTTAATTAAAATTATTTTAATTCGATTCCAACCACGAAACGCATCGGTGAAAGAAGATAAACACGAAAATTAAACGTGAAATTATCAGGCTTATATAAAATCCCAAATTTCAAGCAAATAATTTAATTATTTCAAACATTAACTGGTACAGGAATCTTAAACATTTTATGTCACTTATTCTTTCGAACTAAAAAATAGAGAGAAACAATTATTAATAATTATTTTTCTCAAGATAATTACTTTACAACTGTTATCTTACATTATAACCGATTACTTTCAGTATTTTAATTATTTAAATATTTTTATTCAGTCATATTAAATAACAAAATACCAATCTATAATTTTTTCCTTCTCAAATATTTAAAAGAAACGCACAGTTTATCTTTTCACGGAAAGACTTTTTAATATTTTCAAAAATCCCCGTTCCCCAAAGACTTGACAAAAGCGCGCGTGATCTAGTTGACCACTTAGTTGTCGCAACCTCTTTCAAAAGTATGTAATATGTACTTATAATATAGAATTAAATTGTAATGAAACAATTGTTTTATTTTCTAATCTTATTGCTAACATTTATTCATTTACTCAATTGAAACATATACAGGTTGCATATGAAAGAAAAACATTCATGAAAAATCAATTACTCAGAAAATTAATTAATTAATTTAATCTGCTATCGTGGAATGATACTGAATAACATCATGTAATATCAGTAGTGTTTGATACATTTACAAAAGAAAGGACACACTATACACAGTTCTTTCATAATAATTATTTCTATTATTTTATTCGTTCGTCTTATTTCATCTCGGCTTTCAAATATTCAAAACACCTTGAAATTAACGAATACATTTTCGCTTCCCCTAAAATTGCAATTTAACCAGCAAATTGTCGGCATTTCTCGCTCCAATTACACGACGATCACTGTTTTTCGGTTATAAAACGACAGCGTTGCGAAATGAATTTGTTTTCTCATATTTTAGGCTTGTGATTATGTTTTTCTTTTATGTGAAGATTGTAGAAGGTGGGTGAATATGAAGTAGATTTCTATATTTTTGTGATTCCTAATTATATTTGAATCGCTGGTTTTTGTTTACAAAAGAACAATGTTATATATTTCTCACGCCTGACGAGTGTACTCGTTGTAACACGAAACCTCGCAATTTCTTCGTGACGAGTATTCTCGTATTCTCGTCGAAAACAGCTAACTGGTTAATGGGAAATCGAAAAGGAAACCGGAAGTGATCGGTGACCGGAAAATCGCGCGTATATGGTCACCGCGTCGCCGGAGGATGTCTGCATTATCGAAAAGAGTGTCCGCAGAAGAAGGCTGTGTCCCCACTTTTCCTGACGAAGTCGGCTTTCTTCGTCGATGGATCGGTACTGCAAAAGTACGGGCGGCAAAACAGTCGTCGCGTGTCTTTGGCGGACGTACTAGCCGCCTCGTCCTCCTACCGATCCCTTCGCGATCCTCGGTGACATGGATATTTCCTATTCCGATTGCTACGAATATTCCCTTCGGATAGCCGTTAACAGACAGTGACATCTTTCTTCGTCGAATCGCCGGCCACCCTGTCGCGGTTTGGATATTACTCGATGCGTGAATGTAAGCGAAAACACTATTAAACGTTATTAAATATTTTCCTCGTTCTTTTTCTAAACTGTTGCTCGACATCGTACAAAATATTATACTAAAACAGTATTATTATTATTATTATTGTTATTATTAAATGTTATTAAATTTTTTCGTTGCTTTTTGAAACTACAAGTTACAGGGTACCATACTAAATATCATTTTTAACGGTAATTTTTATCCAAATATACAGAACAGTGAAACAGGAATTTTGTTTTATTAATTTTTTTTATAGAGAGTTCGTTCGTTTATGGAAAATGAATCAAACCTACGGTATTTCATTATATACTAATCGAGTAATTTATTATCGCATAATTAATTATATGGCATCTATAATCGGATAACTTGTTATTGATGTTTCGAAATTTTTTAGAGAAATACTTCATCGCATTAGTCAGAGTCTGAGAAGATAACTATGAATGACCTGTAAACAT